CAGCCCTGTCTGTGCTTCAGCCCTTCCTGGGCTTCAGGCCCTCCTCAGGCCTTTTCCCCTTGCAGCCCATTGGGTCTCAGACCCTTGCAGGGCTGTATCTGGGCTTTGGTCCCACATAAGATAGCGTGCCATCCAGGAATTTCACCTGTGACATCCTCACTTTTAAACCACTTGGACCTCATAAATTATATAAACCCCAAACCAAAACAAACAAATAACTTCTCTCTCTCCTTTAACTGTTCCCAGAATTGCTACAGCACTTGTGGGGATTTAGGTTAGATTGCCCTCCTAGCCCTGTGCTTGGGCTTATAAGGCTCTTGAATCCTTCCCTGCCAGTCATCTGGCCTGCCTCTGGAAAAAAGGGACCACGTACTGTAAGTCCCAAGTTTGCCCAAAGGACTCTCAAACCCTTCATTAGATGCTCAGAGCCCTGAAACTCAACCTTCTTCAGGCTGTATTCACCTAGCTTGCCTCCTGCAATACTTTTCCTGATTCTTTCCAGTAGCAGGGGTAAGGGTCCCCTTCTACAGCCACCTAAAACCTCATCAGGCCAGGTGCTCGCAGCCCCTGCTGAGATCTGAAAACATGCTGTTAGCTTCTATACAGAGCTGTTTGCTCAAATAGGAGCTATCCTTGGGAGAACTAACAACTCCTATTGAAAGCCTCACCATGGGGAAGGTGTTACACTTGTCTGGATTACCCAGTGAATTCTGCAAGGCTTCCTGGTCTCTCCTTAGCCCCAATTTCCTGAACAACTTCCAAGAAAGCTTTGAAGATGGGATCCTACTAATGTGTTGCTAGTGAGCAGTCCTCATTCTATTGAGGAAGAAAGGAAGTCTCATTGAGATTAAGAATTAACAACTAGTATCAATCCTGTGTACCAATTAAAAAACCCCGAACAAAGCCCTGGCTTTGACAGTTTAAAATGGCCATGGCCTTGGTTGTAAATGCAGAAGACAGCTTTGTGTAACCCAACAGAACAGCCCAGAGCAGAATAACCTGTTTCTGCTATGTAAACTGCTTGCAGCCACAGAAATCTTTGGCCTGGACACTGGCTTTGTCTACTTGGACCAAGAAAAACCCTTTGATCAGGTTAACCATGATTTATTATTCCATACTCTGGAAGCCTTTTCCCTTGCACATCTCTATACCTCAGCCATCCAATTCCTGCAGCAGAACATATCTAGCCTCCTGACGGTGAGCAGAGCATTATGTGCCCCATTCCCACAGTATAGGGGCATCCAGCAGCTTCCCCGTCTCTGGAATGCTTTGTGCTCTAACCATTGAGATACTGTCCCATGTGCTGTGGCAGCATTTGACAGGCCTAACCCTCCCACTGGCTGTAGCCCTGGCTGCTGTACCTCCAGTTAAGGTGACAGCATACGCTGATGATTTTACATGTTTTTGTGAACAGCAGAGAGGGTGATGTCCAGTCCCTGATTGAGTTTCAGTGAGCCTAAAAGAGTTCCACTTACATCCATATCAACTGAGCCAAAACTGATACACTTCTTCTGGGCACCTGAACCAACAATGAGGCCCCATACTTGACTGGAGGCCTACCCTTGTGCTTGAATGATTTTCAAAGTTCTGGGCATTTTCTAGGCAGGCTGGCCTATCTAACCAAGAACAAGGAGGGCCTTGTTAACACAATTAAGATGCAACTACAGTGATGGTGCTGGCCCCTGCCAAGTCTCTCCTACCATGGTTCGGTCTTGTACATCTACGTCCTGCCAGCTACTACTCTGTGGCACAGGTGTGCCACTCTCAACCCAACAGTCTTCCTGCTCAAAAGTTTCCACAAGCAACTTATGGATTTCTGGAACAGGCTTCAGTGACCTGTCCTTTTTCTGCCCATCAAAGAAGGGGGACAGGGCCTGATCAACCTAATAAACAGGGTGGCTGCCTTCTGCCAACAAGCCTTCCAGAACATGTTCTTTGCTGCTGAACTGTTCCCACAATGATGGCTGGCCCTGACTTTCCTAAATTGAGTGGGTGACCTTAACATCAATCAGGAAAATTTTCCTCTTAGATCCTGATGGTTTCAGCTGGGGCACCCTCCCACTCTTCTACCATACCTTCTCCCAAGCCAGGTTTCCTTCTGACTAGAACCATAGGGTGAGTGCCTGAAATTTCCAGAGCTGCCACTGAAGTCCCTGGTCTATAATTTGACCTTTGAGCAAGGGGCAGCAAGCATTGCCTCCGGAAGTCACATTGTATTGTTGGTCTGGTTGCACATCATGAAGCTGACCCACCAACTTGTTCCAACAAGAACAAGCGCAAAGTCCTGCACTTAGGACAGAACAGTCCCATACAGCAGTACAGGCTGGAGGTGACTGGCTGGGCAGCAGCTCTTCAGAAAAGGACCTGGGGGTCACAGTGGACAATAAGCTGAATATGAGCCAGCACTGTGCCCTTGTTGCCAAGAATGCTAATGGCATCCTGTGCTGCATTGGTAGATGTGTTGCCAGTAGGTCAAGGGATGTGATTATTCCACTCCATTCAGCACTGGTGAAGCCACATGTGGAGTACTGTGTTCAGTTGTAGGCCTCCCACTATGAAAAAGGATGTGGACAAATTGGAGAGAGTCCAGTGGAGGGCAGCAAAAATGGTGAGGGGGCTGGAGGATATGATTTATGAGGAAAGACTGATGGAACTGGGCTTATTTAGTCTCGGGAAGAGGAGACCGAGGAGACTTCAAGTAGTTAAAGACTGCTATTAAGGGGGGGTTGTAAGAGGATGGAGCTAGGATATTCTCAGTGGTGGCAGATGACAGAACAAGAAGCAATGGTCTCAAGTGGCAGCAAAGGAAGTTTAGGTTAGATATTAGGAAGAATTTTCTCATGAGGGAGGGTTAGTTAAACACTGGAAGAGGTTACCCAAAGAGGTGGTGGAAGCTTCTTGTTTGGGGGTTTCCAAAACCCAGCTAGACAAAGCTTTGGCTGGAAAGATCTAGTTGGGGTTGGACCTGCTTTGAGAAGAGGGTTGGACCAGATGACTTCCTGAAGTCCCTTCCAAACCTAAATTTCTATGATTCTATGGTTATATAACTCCTTAACTCATACTGGTCTTCCTGGCTCTTGGCAAAAGCCCTGACTGAACAAACCAGGCCTGCATTATCTGTTTTCCTTTGCAACTCTTTGCTGAAGTAAAACCTGCCCTTCCCATAGATGCACTTGCTGCCCTGGAGGACCACCTGCACAAATGATGAGCCCTCCCTGACAGTTCTCTAAACAGACTACTTTCATTGCTGCCTACTTCTTCTAGAACAGAAAGTGATGACAGTGGTGAACCCAGTACCTTTCTGTCTCTCTCCATACTCATCAAAAACAGTGGTGGTATTGTTTTGAGATCCTCTAAGAAGGCACTGTACATGTGGATAGTGAAAGTGCACCATGTCATCACTGACCATCCTGACATAATTTGGAGGCAATGCCTAATGGCAGCAACACCAGAGCAAGACTTCCTGGTCTGTAAAAGCTGATCATAGATAAAATAATTGGTGATTTCTGGTGGCACCTAGTGTACAAGGCCCTGACCATGGGTACCATGGGTCTGGCACTTCGACCCTGAGGGACTGGCAGCCATCCCTTTCTGCAGGAGAAGGTGCCTTTCTGGACTGCCCCTGGCTGCAGCCACTCTTTTCTGCCCTTAATGCCCTTTTAAACATGCTGTACGTTGACTTCTCCAAGACTTTACATTTTCTCTATCCTGTACTGAGAGCCTAAAGGGAATGTGATCTGCCTAGCCAACTTCCTCCTGGGATAGACCAAGATGGTAATACTGAAAGGCTGCAGACACTAGCTAACAGGGGTCATCTCTGATGATACCCTCAAACTGGTTCAGTTTGAAATCAGGAGGCCTGGATGAACTTCATCTGAGGGTGCTGAAGGAGCTGGCCAAAGTCATAGCAGAACCCCTGATGATGTTTTTCCAAAACTTGTGGCACTCCAGAGAAGTCCCTGAGGACTGGAAGAGGATCAATGTTGTGCTCATCTTCATGAAGAGGAGGAGAGAGGCTAACTATAGGTCAATTAGCCTAACTTCTATCCCAGGGTAAATCCTGGGAAAATTTATCAAGAAGTCTATATGCTATAGGCTTGCAGAAGGTAAGATTCTGAACAACAGCCAGCATGGCTTCATCATGGGTAGGTCTTGTCTTACCAACTTCATCTCCTTTTATGATCAAGTAACTCACCACCTGGATAAGAGAGAGCAGGGTGAGACTGTATACCTTGACTTCCAAAAAAGCTTTTGAACTGGTATCCCATGATGTTCTCATGAAAAAATTGGAAGATTATGGACTTAACTGTGAGAAAGATAGGTCAATAGGAAGTTGGCTGTGGGGTAGGACCCAGAGATTTCTACTGGATGGATCTGTGTTGTATTGACAAGAAGTGGCCAGTGGTGTCCCTCAGGGGTCCCTGCTTGGTCCAGTGCTTTTTAACATTTTCATCAATGATTTGGATGTGGGGGTAAAAAGCTCACTGGCCAAGTCTGCAGATGACACCAAGTTATAGGGAAGTAGGATCATGCCTGAAGATAGGCTACAGATACAGGCAGAAGTAGACGGGCTGGCAAGTTGGGCAGATTAAAGCAAAATGAGGTTTAACATCGAGAAATGTAAAGTGCTCCACCTGGGAAAAAACAGTCCCCTGCACAGCTACAGGCTTGGCAATGCCAATCTGACCAGTATAACAAATGAAAGAGACCTGGGGGTAATAATAGACTGCAGTATGAACATAAGCTAGCAGTGTGACTCTGTAGCCAGCCAGGCAAATAATATTCTGGTGTGCATCAATTGATGCGTCTCCAGCAAAACCAAGGAAGTGATTCTTTTGCTCTGCTCAGCATTGGTGAGACTGCAGATAGAGTCCTGCTTCCAGTTCTGGGCACCACACTTTAACAAGGATGTGGACAAGCTTGAGAGAATCCAGAGAAGGGCCAATTAGATGATCAGAGACTTGCATGGCAAGCCATACGAGTACAGGCTGAGGGACCTGGGAATCTTCAGCCTGAGGAAGAGAAGTCTGAGTGGGGACTTGGTAGCAGCTTACCGCTACATCAGGGGTGCATCAAGGACTCGGTGAACAACAGTTCACCAGGGTACCCTTGGGGAAAAAAACAGGAGAAATGGTCACAAACTCCTGGAAGACCATTTCAGGCTCAACATTAGGAAAACATCTTCACAGCTAGTGTGTCCAGATTATGGAATAGGCTCCCTCCAGAGGTCGTGCAATCAGCTACCCTGGAAATCGTCTAATTGTGTAACTCCGTAAAGGGCATGGAGAGAGGTTTTCAGTCTCTGGTGATATGTGGTGCATCTACATGTGCACCACACTGTGCAGTAACCTGCATTACTGTGCAGTCCTGGCAGTGTAAGGGTTTTTTTCCCACACTACTGCACAGTAGCATCAGTGTCATGGTTTGTGCCCATTAATGCTATGTGCCCGCTGACATAGCATCTCGTTCAGATGCACCCATGGTGTTTTTGTTATTGACAAGTGTTTCATGCTACACATTTTTGCACTTTTACTTTTTTGTTTTTAATATTTTTGTAATAAAGATTTTAAAGAGTAGAAAAAAGGCTTTCTTTTGTTCTTTTGTTTTTTTTCATTCTCTTTTTGGCCAGAAGGAATAAAAGAAACCAGTTTCATGTAAATGTAAATGAAAAGCAGGTGTGGCATGTTTCTTGTAGCTGAACCTTTCCAGAATAAGGTTTTTTTCTCATTTTATTGTCAATGTCATGCCCATAACAATAAGCAGTTTTATAAATTGACAGATTTATCATCTTGACATGCAATTTTCTATGTATCTTTTCCAAAGTTGTGCTTAAGCTGTGGAGTTATTTCTATTTGGAAATAAACTGATTATGGTGCTGCATAGATACTTGCACTGCATTTACATTTTCCCCAGCCTTCTAACATTGGTCTTTGGTTCTGAGGTTAATACAGGTCTGGATTTATTGCATTTGATGGAATTGTGCAGAGGTTAAGAACAATTTGTGGCAAAGTATCATGGCCCTGGATTAACTATATTGAAAATGCTTTAGTCAATCTTTCAAAAGAAATATTACAACATATACATATGTGTCTTTCTTTCCAGACCCAACATATTAACATGAATGTTTTAGATAACTTATTGAATATTGAAACAAAAAAGGAGGATAAATTAAGATGTGCTATCAGAGATAAAGGGGTTAATTGGAAAGCAGCCTACCCAAAGCATAGGCTGAAAAAAGGTTTTCCAAAGCATATTAGTTCTGAGATATAAAATGCAGTGACAAAAAGCAATACCACATACCTAATGTGAAGACAAAGGCCAATGTGGTGCCTATGTTCAAGAAAGGGAGGAAAGTGGATCCGGCAAACTATAGGCCCGTCAGCCTGATCTCTATCCCGGGGAAGGTCTTATAAAAGATTATTAAAGAGGTCATTCTTAACAGACTGGCTGATGGCAACATCCTGAGGGATATCCAGCATGGGTTTGTTGTGGGTAGGTCTTGTTTGACCAATCTCATT